TTATCAAGGAGCGGGTGGATGAGCAGGATGGCAGAAGGGAGTAAGAGAAGGGGCAAATGGCGACAGATGGTAGTCAAAGAGAGCTGGGGCTGGAGGCAGCTTATCCAGGGCTTTGTAGGCTGATGTGTTTGTATTTAATTCTAAACTTAAGGGGAAGCCCCAGGAGGATTTATGGGATCCACATTTTGAGAGGTTGCTTGTGGCCACTCTGTGTAAAGGCAAAGTGGAAGTAGCAAGACCAGGGAGGAGGCGACTGCAGTTGTCTGGGGAAGTGGCTTGTTGGGGTGGGAGGCTGGTGAGAAACGGTTGGGTCTACGTTACATTTTGAGGATAGAGATGCCCAGATTTGCTGCGGGTTTGCCTGTGTGTGTGAGAAAACGAGACGGAACACGGACCATTCCTTGGATTTTGGTCAGAGAACTGGATGAATGGGGGCGGGGTTTGAGAGTTGAGCTGGGACTAGTGGGAGAAGAGAGGTTTCAGAGCGTCCCAGGGCTTGGTGCGGACATGGTCACTTTGGGATGCCTGTTGGACCCCTGCGCGGAAGGTTGGGTTGGCAGCTGGACGCGTGCCCCTGGATGTAAGCGGAGAGGTCCGGGCTGCAGATGAAGATGAGCTTTCTGCCGGAAGATAGAAGGGAGGGCAGAGCTGTGGGTAGAGGGTACCCGCAGGGCCCACCTGAATGGGCCTCGGGGCTCGGAGCCCAGGACCAGTGTTCCTCTGACATTCGTGTTCAGGTGGAATCAGACTGTGCCTAGAAGAGGAAAAGAGATAACTCAAGTGTGGACCAAGGACAAGGGTACAAGTGTGTGTCTTTTGTGTCCTGTTGCTGGTTTTACCACCACCCCGAAGGCCACGCTCCCAGTACCCTTTGCCCCCATGGCTATAGGCGCTTCCTAACTGATCATCCCACTTCAAGCCTTGTACCCCAGTTTCTTCAACACACAGAACCCAAGCGATTATTTAAAAACTCGAATATGGTCTTGTCACACACTGCCCGATACTGTTCAGGTATTCCCCATTGCTCTTACATCCAGAATTCTCCACATGGTTCCAGGGCCCCACTTACCTCCCAGCCTTCCCTTACACCTTCTTCAGGTTCCTGAGCACCTACCACTCCAGTCTTCCTTCGGTCCCGCCAACATGTCATACTTCCTCCAGCCTCAGGGCCTTTGCACATACTTTCCCCATCTGGCTGTTAGTTCTTCCCCTCACTATTTCCTGGCCAACTTCTTGATGACTTTCTGGTCTCTGCGGAAACATCGGCTCCTAGGGAAGCCTTCCCTGAACTCCCTATATCTGCATCAGGTTTCCTTGTTATGAGCTCTGTAGTACCTTCTTCTTTTCTTCGTGGTGCTTACCTCGGTTTGCAATTAAACATTAGGGTAAGTACTTGTTGAAGTGAGCTGAATTCCTGGAACAGGGCCAGACAGTACCAAGGCGTGCTAGAAGTTTCAAGCTCTCAGGGGCTTTGCTGGCTTCCCTTGCACTTTTGTTGGAAGGGCTGGAGAAAAATGAAGAGGCCAGGGCCTCTGCAAGGAGGTCAGCCACAGGGCAGAGAGAAGGTTGACAGAGCTGCACTGTCAAGGCCTCCGTCCCACCCCCCGCCCCCCGGGATGGCCACTGAATGCATAAAGGTCATGCATTCTGCTCCTAGTCCTTGCTCCTAAGAGCACAAATTATTTATTTTGGAATTGAAAATATGTCTTCCCCCCAACCCAAACCCCCACCCTCAAGGTGGCCCTCTGAGAAGAAAAGCCTCTCACTTCCCACTGCTCCAGCAGAAACTGTTTTGGGTCAGGGCCTAGTCTGAACCTATTCCCTTCAAAGAACTCTTGATTGTTAGGGTGTAGATTCCAAAACTTAGAAGCTTTTAAAATATATCCACTGTTCATTGGGGCGCCTGGGTGGCTCAGTTGGTTAAGCGACTGCCTTCGGCTCAGGTCATGATCCTGGAGTCCCGGGATCGAGTCCCGCATCGGGCTCCCTTCTCGGCAGGGAGTCTGCTTCTCCCTCTGGCCCTCCCCCCTCTCATGTACTCTCTCTCATTCTCGCTCTCTCAAATAAATAAAAAAAATCTTTAAAAAATAAATAAATAAAATATATCCACTGTTCAGAGGAAAAACTAAGGCAGTTAGAGTCTTTTTATTTTTTTTAAATTTATTTATTTTAGAGAGAGTGTTTGTGAGCATGGGGAGGGGCAGAGGGAGAGGGACAAGCAGACTACCCGCTGAATGGGGGTTGTTAAAATCTAAGGAACTTACACAGGAGAGTTAAACTTTTTTCCACCTGTCCATCCATCCTTCCATCCAAACATCCACTTTTCCATTGAGCCATTGATTGATCCATCTACTATTATCTGTTCTTCCATCAATTGATCAATTGATCTATGTATGCATCGATTGATTAATCCATCCAAACATACACTCTTTCATCCATGCATGCATGCATGCATGCATGCATCCATCCATCCAAACACCCACTCTTCCATTCATCCCTCTATCCATCCACACATCCACTGGACATAAAGCTGTGTCTGAATGAGGCAGTCGTGACCACTGCCTTAGTAGGTCTCATAGGCTAAAGGAGATAAAATTCTCTGGTCAAGCCTCGTCATGCATCCACTTTGCCAGGGGTGGGTGGGATGACTGGGTTGATAGTTTTGCCAAAATTGGGTCAAGAGTAGTTTCCCAATGGAACACCCTGGGATGCTGTTATCAGAAGCAGGGAATGATTCCGGGTAGGCAAAATCAACAGATGTCCACTAGATTAGAGGCATTTAATCATTAGGGGTGGAGGATGAGAAAGGACAGGGGAGGGTGACACCAGCCCTTCTTTTTTTCTACAGCATAAGGGCAGGCCGGTTCCTTTGTTTATCCCTGACCACATTTCAGGGTCTGGACTTTGGGTTCTGTCATAATGACCCAAAAGCACCCATCTCCTTCTAGATACTTGGCTCTAAATGTCCCAGTCTGGGTCATCACTCTCTCCTCCTCCATCTACATTTATCAGCTAACCTTAGATACTTGTTGGCTACACCCAGTGTCGCTCTGCTTATGATTAGGAATTAAAGAAGAGGATCATTTTCTGCTCTGACAATCAGAAAGTACTTCCTAAGTCTCTGAAAGTTGGCAAGTCCTGAGGCTAGGCTTGGGTCCCTTGAAATGGAGAGGCTAAACAGGTGTTTCTCATCCCTGGCCACACACTGGAAGCATCTGGGGAGGTTTTACAAAACCCTGATGCCCAGGCCCCACGTTCAAACATTCTGATTATAACTGGTCTCTGGTGGGGCTCTGCCACTGAATGTTTAAACAGCTCTCCAGGTGGCTCGAATGCGTAGCTGGGGTTAAGAACCACTGGTCTAAGTGCAATTTGGAAAACCCTATTCATTGCTGTGTCTCTTTGCTTCCAGGATAAAAGCATGATGAGGGTAGCGACGCTGTCCTGTTGATGGCTGCATCTCCAAGAGCTGTAGCAATGTCACGTACCTGGCAGGTGCTCAGCAAATATTTGTGGAATGAATGATGATCCCTAGCTTTGCACAAATCCCTTAATGGAGCGGAGATGGCTCCCCATGAAGGATGCACATTCTCCATTTTTCCTAGCACATGGGGAAGGATTTGAGTCATTCCCCACGTGAGGTCAAGTTGTGGTTCTCCGGGCATCCTAGAACCTCTCCCACCCTATCTTCTGCTCCAGAGATTCTCAACACTGGCTACACTTTGGATTCATCTGAAGTCATTTAAGAAAAATACCTTTGGATGTTCTGGTTCCCTGGGGGTTGGACTGAAGCCTAGGCACAGGCATTGAAAAAGTGTTCCTGGTGATTCTAACATGCTGTTAGGGTTGAAGACCACTGTTGTCTCCTTGTCTGCCTCTGTGAGTCTATTTTCTGACTTCAGCCAACTTGGTCTGAGACCCTTGGAAGTGGGGGGGGGGCGGTTGGTAGTACTGGGTTCTTATGTAGTGTTCTTCAAAGGTACTTGCTCATAACATTCATCTTGGGTGCTTATTTAAAAATACACATTCCTGAGCCTCTACTCCAGACTTACAGAAGAAGCTCCAGCGAGAGCCTGCGAATATGTGTTTTTGACCAGTGTCTGCATGTACTTGTTACCAGCCAACCTCTCCAAGTGCACTGCCGTCCTGGCTTGGGGGGCACACGGAGCCCCTTCGGGCTTTGGCTTCCCTTTGGTTCCCACTGCCAGAACTCTCTTTCCCCAGGTCATTTAGGTCACCCCCCCCTCCCCCGCTCCAGAGGCCCTACCTGACCACCCAAGAGGAGAATGCCTCCCCAGCTGTCAACCCTTACTCCATACTGCTGGTAATTCCCTCCTGACACTGTTCAAGATGATCTTCTCTTGTTTATCACCTTCATGCCCATACCCCCGACCCGAGCTTCCCGGGGCATCAGTGTCTGGTTCAGGCTGGGTCCCTGGCACCAGGCACACGAGAGGAGGCCCAAGACCTACAGATGTCAGGGTGGGGCTTGCGCTCTCAGAGTATCTATGCTTCGTTCCCAGGTCCTGGGAAACTGCGTTCAGGGATATACAGGCGACTGAACTGGAGGTGAAAATCATGCCACAGCTGTGGGCGCCCAGGAACCCCTGGAGGCGCAGTCTGCGGGGGAAGGGAATGGTGCCCCCCCCCTCACCCCCTGAGAGAAGAAAGGAGGGAAAGGAATGGGATCAGCTGATCACGTAGGGCAAAACTACGAGAGGCCCCAGCTCTCCCGTCTAGGTCCCAGGGCCCCGCGGGGAGGGAGGCGGGGGGAGGCGGCGGGTCCCAGCGCGGCCGCGCCGAAGCGCCCGGCGGTGGCCCGGGGCCCGTTGCTAAGCGCGGGGCCCGGGCGGTGCGGCCCCGGCCGGCCGGCCGACTGCCTCCTCCCTCCCGGGCGCCGGCCAGCCCGCCTCCCCCTCCCTCGCTCCCTCCCCCGGGGCCCGGGTGGCGGCCCCGCCCCCGCCGGCCCGGCCGCCCTGTCCCCGCCTCCCCCTCCGCGGGCTGCAACAGGTGCCTCCCCGAGCAGGAAGCCCGCGCCGCCGCCGCTCAGCTCCCCGGGCGCGTCCGGGACCCGCTGCGCCAGCGCGCCATTCCCGGGCCCGCGTGCGTCCCCACGAGGACAGGGACGCCGCCGCTCCCGCCGCCTCTCCGCCCCGCTTCCTGCCCCCGCTCCCGGCCAGGGGCCCAGGACAAGGCCGCGCCCGCGCCCGCCCCCGGCCCCGCCACCCTCCCGCCGCTTTGCGCGCCATGGACGCCCCGGAACGGCAGCCCGAGCCCGACGGCGGGGACGCCCCGGGCCACGAGCCCGGGGGCAGCCCCCAAGACGAGTTCGACTTCTCCATCCTCTTCGACTATGAGTATTTGAATCCTATCGAAGGTCGGTGGAGGCTCCTCCCGGCCTGCCCCCCCCCCGCCCCCCGAGCCCGGGCGGGGGCTTGGGCCTGCGGAGTGGACACGGGGCCCCTCTTTGGTCCCGATGTCACACTTGGGGGGGGTGGAGGGAGGGAGGGAGGGGTGCGTCTCCCCAGGTGAGAGGGAGGGCATGAGGCGTCTGGGACTGTTGCCACCTTTAGGGGGCGGTAGGCTCACTTTTGCCCAGTAGGGCGTCAGGCTGCAGTTACTGGTGGCTTGTCCCTGAGGGTCACTGTAGCAAAGCAAGGGGTGGTAGGGGCCTCAGCTGGCTCTTGCCTGCTGCAGGGTCTTCGGAGGGGAAAGGAAGTGATTGATTTGCCTCTGGAGGGAGGAGGTGAGGAAGCCAAAGAATGGAGTCAGCAGGGAGGGGACTGATGCACAAAGAGGTTGCAACTGCGCCCAACCGTCAGGGCCTGGGACGCTGACCCTCCTCTCCGCAGACAGCACCGCCTGTGAGCTGACTTTGCTGGGGACTTGGTGTTGAAACTGGTGAAGAGGTTGTCTGTGTCTGATGCTGGAGGGTGGTTTGGCTTCAGTGTTAGGAAGCCAGCCCCTTTCGTCCCTGGGTTCTGCTGCTGCCTTTGTGGATCACCCCAGGTGGATCAGTCTGAGCTTTGTTATGTGGTCCCCTAGCCCCCAGTCATCGTGCATGTGGGGTTTGCGGGCCAAGCCTGGCGTGTGGATTCAGGAAGAAGAAGCCTATTCCTGCCTCAGCGACCTGTCAGTCCATGCTTTTAGGTGCTCGGTGTGGCTGGGGACTTCCCCAGGCTGGGCCATCACTTCACGTGGGTTAGCAGGAACATTTGTCAGAAGGTGGAGGAGGTCGCATGCCCAGCCTCACTGTATTTTTCTGGTTAGCAGGTTGTCTTGGAAAAAAACAACAACAACAAAAAAAACCCCAGCCCCAGCCAGGCTTCCTGATTTTGACAGCCCAACCCAGCCAATGTTTGTTGAAGCCTCAGGGGCAGGCCTGTTGGTAACTTCCAGATGCACTCGGGCTTGGCCGCATCCGGAGTGCAGGAAGGGGTTGTGCGGGCTGATTGGTGTAGGAGGCCTTTTCACGGAGGCTTGGTGCTTCTCAGAGATGTTGTGTAAGGGAGGTGAATGAGAAGTTTCAACTTTCCTTCCCTCATGGTCTTCACTGGCCACGTTAGGTGAGGGACTTGCTTTGGCTTAGATGACAAGGAAGATGGTAGTTAGTAAATCATTCTGTATTTTGGCTGGAGATGGAAATAATTAGCCAACAAAAGAGACCAGTCTTCTCGAGTTGCAATCTGGAGGCCTTCCTTTGCTTTGAAAAGATACAACTAAGAATCTGCAAATGATCCCTTTAAGGTTCCTTTAACATCCGCGCTCTTTGTTTGTTAAGATTAAAGTCATGTTTTGCAGGGAACTTCTACCCCTCCCAGATTCACAATCAGCTAACTTTTTTTTTTTTCCTTTTTTTTTTTGCACAGGGGAGATTTCCGGGGAAATAGTTTCCAAGCCAAATCCGATGGGAGGTGCTTTTTATAGTTTTTCTTGGCAAGTGGTGCTTGGTGGCCGCCAGATGGGTGTCTAAATGGCCACAGCGAAAACCCTGGAATCATTAAAAAAAAAAACTTTATTTTTTTGGAACAGTTTGAGAGTACAGAACACTGGTAAAGACAGTAGAGGGAGTTGCCATATCCCGAGCACCCAGGTCCCCATTTTATTTACATTACACTAGTATGAATGTATTTGTTATCATCCATGAGCCAATACTGATGCATTATTATGACCTAGAGTCCATACTGTCCTTGTTTGTTATGAGCTTGACAGTTTTGAGGAGCACTGGTTAGGTGTGCTGTAGAGTGTGCCTCAGTTAGGGTCTTTCTGATGTTTCCCTCGTGCAAAGGCTGGGGCTATGGGTTTAGGGGATGAAGACCACACAGCTGACGGGACTGTGTCCATCACATCCTATCAAGGGTACCTATTATCAACTTGATTGATCACCATTGATACTGACCTTGATCAGCTTGGCCAAAGTAGTATTTGTCGGGTTTCTCCATTGTAAAGTCCCTCCTCTGCAAACTGTACTCTTTGGAAAGGAGTTCCTATGTGTAGCCCCCCGCCTTATGGAATGGGGAGTTTGGAATCTGTAAATGATAGTTCCTTGCTGGGAAGTAGGCAGCATCATGGCTGAGGAAGAGAGGGGCTGTTGTGAGCCTTGGGAGGCAAAGCGAGCTCTTCCAGATGTGGGTCTGGCTCTGGCTACCCAGATGTTAATGGGGTCACCTCTCTGCTTCTGAATGGTGGAACTCCCCAAGGACTGACACTAGCCTTTAGCTTGCCATTGGGCTTTGTCCCGGGTGACAATATATTGGTAATGCATGTGAGGGCTATCCTTAGCTCTGTGCATGAGCTTGGCAAACGTCAAGGAAGGAAAGGGCCGGCGAATGGGACAGACATTGGCAGAACTTGGTGATGGTACTTAGGAATTTGGGGGAAGTCGGATGCTCATTTTATGGAACTGTAGCATCGTAGCAGATGCCTATTATAGCTCATGCAATAACCCTCCAACCCTAGCAGGTGGGCACTCTTGTCACCCTCATTTTACAGAGGAGGCAGTGAGGCATGGAAAGGTGAAGGAATTTTCTCAAGAGAACAGGGTTGGTAAATGGCAGAGCTGAAACATGAACCTGGCAGTCTTGCTCCAGAGGCTGCATTCTGAGCTACTGTGTGAGGGTTCACTATTTCCTCATCTGATGAGCGAGATGCAAAGCAGTTTGTAAGGGGCACTATGGCAAGACTGGAGTTTAAAACATTTACCAACAGAGTGATCTTGGGTGAGTCTTTTAACCTCTCTGGACCTTGGTTTGCTTATCTGTCAAATGGCTGAAATAATAGTGCTTATCTCACAGGGTTGTTTGCCTTGAATGGCTTGACCTATTTATTTATTTAAGATTTATTTATTTATTTTAGAGACAGAGTGGGGGAGGGGCAGGGTCAGAGGGGGAGAGAGACTCTTAAGCAGGCTCCATGCCCAGCACGGAGCCCAGCACAGGGCTCGATCTCACAACCCTGAGATCATGATCTGAGCCGAAATCAAGAGTCAGACACTCAACGGACTGAGCCACCCAGGCACCCCCTGACCTATTTAAGTCAATACAGAGTGTGATTTGTTATGAGCATTTTTTAAAACCCTTGGCTCTCTTAACAGAGGTGCTCAGTTCATGTGAGCTGTTACTCATTTACTCATCCCGCTAACTACTGGGCATCTATTGTGTTAGACCCTGGGGATATAATAGGGAATAAGACCCAGGCCCTGCCCTCACGGAGCCGGAGCCTCAAATTGTGCTTCTGTGGTTTTCTCTCATCTAATGGCATTGACTAATAATACCTTCAGCAGCCTGCCCCCTTGTAGTGGAAATGGCAGCATCCTTGCCTTGTTTCTGACCCTAGCAGGAATATCTTAGGTGTCTGCTTTAGGACTGAAGTATATGGATTTTATTATGTTGAGGAAGTATCTACCCATTACTGTTTTCTTGAGAGGTTTGATTAGGAATGAGAGTTGAATTAGGTCATCGGCTTCTTAGGATCTATGGAAAAATGATTTTATTCTTCTTAGATCTATTTATATGCTGACTTATACCAATAGATTTCTGAATATTGAACAATTCTTGGTTTAAACCCCACTTGGTCACTTATGGTGGTGGGGCTGGTGTCTGATAATGTTTAAGATTCCTGTCAGCAGTATTTTTGAGTGATATTTGTCTGTAATGTCCTTTTTGGTGTGGTTCGGATTTCTTTCCTTTTCTATGGTTTGGATTTCTTTCCTTTTCTATGCTCAGGAACAACATATGTATTGCTGGGACTATCCTGTTTCTAAAGTTGTGATAGAATTCCCCTGTGAAGCCATCCGGACCTGGTGCCTTTTTATGGGGTTGTTCTCTGATTGCTTTCTCTCTTCTGTTCTCTATTCTGTTCTCTGTTGTCGATGGGAATTGGTCTGCTTGCACTTTGTGTCTACTGGAGTCAATTTTGGTAAGCCATATCTTTCTAAGAAATTATCCATTTTATTTAGGTTTTCAAATTTATTTGCTTAGAGCCATGCAAAGTATGACTCTTACTATACTTAGCTGTCTCCCTCGGTCAAAAAAAGGTGACAGAAAGAACGGGGACAGAGCTGTGGGAGTCCTGACCAGTGCTCCTTTGTTATGGGAGGGGAGAGAGGTGTGCTGGTTGTCGGTGGACAGATTAGAAGTTTCGTTCCTTTGTGTGTGTTCGCAAATTCGATGAAATGAATTAGTACTTCTCCCAATGTGTAAAGCACTGGGAGAGATGGATGGGTACTGGGAGTCCCTGTCACCTCCGGAAGTGCCACATCCCCTCTGGACTGTCAGGGACTGACCCATCGGGCGCGATCACTGCTGCTAGGCCTCAGTGGGTCTGGTGTGTCCCTCCTGGTAAGCTAATGCAAATGGTACCAACCTTGACCTTTCAGGCCTCCTGGTCTTGTAGTCCATTCTGGTGGTCCTTAAACTTTTTGGGTCACAGCCCTTTGCAAAGCTGATGAAAGCCGCAGATCCCATATGCACACACACGCATGTACACACATATCAGGCACGTACACAGTGCTCACGTGCGTAACTCCTGCACGCCCCCTACACATCCCCCTCTGCCCTCCATGTGCCTTTCATACCGTTTTCAGGTAGACTCACAGAACCCTCTGGAGCCCATCCCCTCTCGTCACCCGCATTTCCACTCAGGAACACCTGCTCTCAACCCATTCACCGGGGACAATTAAAACCTCCTTCTTTCAGCAAACACTCACTGAATGCTGGTTTGGTGCCAGACCCTGGGGCGGGGCGGGGGCGGGGGGCGGGGGGGGGGGATGGGTGTAGAGACAATTCGATGTGGTCCTACCCTTGCCTGGCCCTCAGGCCAGTATGGGACACAGCCTGGTAAACAAATAGGGACAAATGAGGTGCTGGGGATAGGGTA